TTTTCACTGACCCTCTACTTTACTAAGCATGATGTCCTTCTCCAGGGACTGATCCTTCCTGATAACATGTCCAAAGTATGTGAGATGAAGTCTAGCCATCCTTGCTTCTAAGGAGCTTTCTGGCTGTACTTCTTCCAGGACAGATTTGTTTATTCTTTTGGCAGTCCATGGTATATTCAATATTCTTTGCCAACACCATAATTCAAAGGCATCAGTTCTTCTTTGGTCTTCTTTATTCAGTGTCCAGTTTTCACATGCATACAAGGCGATTGAAAACATCATGGCTTGGGTCAGGCACACCTTAGTCCTTAAAGTGACATCTTTGCTTTTTAACACTTTAAAGAAGTCTTTTGCAGCAGATTTGCCCAATGCAATTCGTCTTTTGATTTCTTGACTGCTGCTTCCATGGGTGTTGATTGTGGATCCAAGTAGAATGAAATCCTTGACAACTTCAATTTTTTCTCCATTTATTGGTCCAGTTGTGAGGACTTTTGTTTTCTTTATGTTGAAGTGTAATCCATACTGAAGGCTGTGGTCTTTGATCTTCATCAGTAAGTGCTTCAAGTCCCCTTCCCTTTCAGCAAGTAAGGTTGTGTCATCTGCATATCACAGGTTGTTAATGAGTCTTCCTCCAATCCTGATGTCCCGTTCTTCTTCATATAGTCCAGTTTCTCAGATTATTTGCTCAGCATACAGATTGAATAAGTATGGTGAAAGGATACAACCCTGACACACACTTTTCCTGACTTTAAACCACACAATATCCCCTTGTTCTATTCGAACGACTGCCTCTTGATCTATGTACAGGTTCCTCATCAGCACAGTTAAGTGTTCTGGAATTCTCATTCTTTGCAATGTTATCCGTAATTTGTTATGATCCACACAGTCGAACACCTTTGTATTAGATGTTTACCTGTGTTTTACTGACTATGCAAAAGCATTCAACGGTGTGGATCATAACACATAGACAAGTAGTATAAGTATTAACTTCTCTAGTATTAAGCCACTGAGATTTTTATGATTTTCATTACTGCAGCAAAACCTAACCGAACCTGACAGGTATACAAGCTGCCAAAAAAATTCTTTAGCAACTTTTTCAAACTGAAATTACCAGAGCAAAAGTAAACAACAACAACAAAATACAAAACAAAGAAACAAAGCACTTCAGAATTTTTTCTCAGGGAGGACAGTGGGAAATCTGGTCTCCCAAGAGGTTCAGAGAGGCTAGAGGCAAGATCTCTTGAAACAAGAGGCTCCAGGAACAAGCTTTGCCTTTCTAGTTCCTACCCTGGTGGCACATTAGTTAAAACGCTCGGCTGTTAACCGAAAGGTTGGCGTTTCGAACCCACCAGTCACTCAGTGGGAGAAAGATGTGGTCTGCTTCAGTAAGGATTTTCAGCCTTGGAAACCCTATGGGGCAGTTCTGCTCTGTCCTTACAGGGTCACATGAGTCGGAATCAACTTGATGGCAATGGGTTTGGTTTGGCTTAGTTCCTACCCACCAGCCCAAGTTATTGATTTTAATTGTTGACGTTGAAACTTGAGATCGATTTTAGAAAGTTCAACTCTTCAATGGGGAAACTTTCAGAAGGGAGAAATGACTGGTTCAGGATCACACAGGGCATTACTGGGTACAATCTCCCCACCCAGTTCAACCATCTTTGCCCTTTATGTTGATTTTCCACCTAGTTAATTTCCATCATTGTCCATTTCTTTGGGATTCCACAGACTTGCCCATGGATTACAAAACTAGTCTTGGTTTCAAGAATGGGTTTAAAAAAATATATATTAAAACTTTTTTCTTATTGCAATAGTAGTAAGTGCATACTTATTTGTTTCAGTTGTAATGTAAGTTTTTTATTTTATGTTTTAATATTTTATTATATTTTTGGTGAAAGTATACACAGCAAAACAGGTTCCCATTCAACAACTTCTACACATATTGTTCGGTGATACTGGTTACATTCTTCACATTGTATCAACGTTTTCATTACTTTTGTTCTGGTTGTTCCATTCCCATTAACTTAGTCTCACTGCCCCCAAACTTTCTCATCTATCCTTTAGAGTAACTGCTATCATTTGGTCTCATACAGATAATTTTTTTTTTAAAAGCACAGATATCAAGGGTGACATTCATTACTTTTTGAGCTAACCTGCTATTTAGTTAAAAGGTGACTTCAGGGGATAGTTTCAGTTCAAGGTTTAAAAAGTATCTCAGGGAAACAGTCTCAGGGATTCTTCTAGTCTCAAAGGGCCCAGTAAGCCTTAGAGAATTCTTTGAGAATTTTAAGTTCTGTTCCACATTTTTCTCCCTTTCTATCAGGATTCATCTATCATGACTCATTAAAATGTTGCAGCCAGGCACCATCCAGTTCTTCTTGTCTCAAGGTAGGCATACTCATTTAAAAAAGAAAAAAAGATTTAAAAAATGAAAAATAATTTAAAAAATCTAAAATCCCATGCTTCTAGAAGTAATCACTATTTTTAAAGAATTTATTTTAATCTTTTGTTGTTGTAGTTGAGAACGTACACAACAGAACATACACCAATTAAACAACTTCTACACGTACAATTCAGTGACATTGATTACCTTCTTCAAGTTGTGCAACCATTCTCACCCTTCTTTTCCAAATTTTTCTTCCCCCATTAACATAAACTCACTGCTTCCTAAGCTTCCCATCCAACCTTTTGAGTTGCTGTTGTCAGTTTGATCTCACCTAGCTTTGAGCATAATGCTCAAAGCTTATGTCCTTTACTAATTAAGATAAACTGTTGCTTATGTCCTTTACTAATTAAGATAAACTGTTTTTTGGTTCAAAGAAGACTTTAGGGGCTAGTTTTGGTTTTAGGTTTAAAATTTAATTCACCCAGCATCAATGGCTCCAGGAAGTCTGGATTCCATGGAGAATTTAAAATTCTGTTCTGCATTTTCCCTCTTTTGATCAAAGATTCTTCTGTAGAATCTTTGATCAAAACATGCAGTAATGGTAGCCAGGCACCAGTCAGTTCTGGTCTCAAGGCAAAAGAGGCAGTTGTTTGTTGAGGCGATTAGCCACATATTCCATTTCTAGAGATAATTACTATTGATATCTTTTTTAAAAAATAAAATAAAATGGATATGTTACTTTGTAACATTTTTTGAAAACATTCTTCCTCATCAGCATTTTGGTTACATGGCATTCTGTTTTTATGGATGCATCATATTTTATTTAACCAATTCTATTTTCTTGAATATTTAGGTTGTTTACATTTTTCTTTTAATTATGAACACTGCTTTGATGAACATTGCTAATTTAAGTAGACACTTTTCCTTGTTAGCTGTCAAGCACGTCCTACAGTTGTGGTTCTCAAACTTTAGTGTGCATCAGAATCACCAGGAGGGCTTGTTAAGCTATAGATTCCTGAGCCCCACCCCTGGAGTTTACATCTGTAGGTCTGACGTGGGACCTGAGAATTTGCATTTCTAACAAGCTCCCTTGATGCTGCTGGTTTGGGGACCACAGTTTGTGAACCCACAGTTCTACATTATCTTTCCTTCTAAGAACCTAATAACACCTGTTTCCTTAGTTTCCTTTCTTAGAACCTCCTGCAACTGGCCTTCTACTCTGGGGAGCGGAAATTTCTTTTGTGGCCTATTATTCTTTCCCCATTCATGACTGTAAGTCCCTGTTATGGGTTGGATTTTGTCCCGCCAAAAGATTCAAGTCCTAGCCCCCAGTATTTGTGAACGTGAACTTATTTGGAAATATCATTTTTGCAGATGTAATTATAGTTAACATGGGGTCATACTGGAGTACGGTGGACCCTAATCCAGTATGATGAGTGTCTTTGTAAGAAGAGAAGAGACACAGAGGAAGATGGCCATCTGAAGACAGAGGGAGAGATTGGAGTTATGCCACCACAAACCAAGGAACACCTGGGGCCACCAGAAGCTGGAAGAGACAAGGGAGGATTATCCCTTAGAGAGTTCAGTGAGAGCATGGCTCTGCCAACACCCTGAATTTGAACTTCTAACCTCCAGAGCTGGGAGATAATACATTTCTGATATTTTAAGCCACCCAGATTGTGGTACCTTGGCAACCCGAGGATACCAATACAATCCCTTTCATCAACACATCTTTCCAAGTGTTTCTGAGCTTTGCTCTAACTTCCTAATATACACATAGATACCAACACACACTGTGTGTCAACGTTAGGTGTCTTTTCCCATATTTTCACTCCCAGAAACCTCAGCTAGTAACAAACTGAGGATACCCAAAAGTTCCCCAGACACTGGCGTTTTACTGTTCCTTATTGCCTTTGTATCTAGCCTGGCTGCTTCACAAGGTTGTTATGATGGAAAACATCTATCTGTGAAGGATATATAGTTGGATCTTACAGATGCTTGTAAGCTGGGAAGAACTGTCTACCCAGTAGTGAAGAGGCATTATGATTAAGCTTAGAATTATTATTTTATTTCTAGGGAAGTCGTTCAAAGCTTAGTTTCTGGAGTTAGAGCTGGGTTCTCTCTCTGGGTTCTGGTACTTACTAGTTGTCTGAACTCATGCAAATGACTTCCAATCTCTGAGTCTCATTTTCCTTAAGTAAAATGAAGGAAATAATACCTTTGTTGCAAGGATATGGCAAGAAACAGAAATAATATGTGTAAAACAGCCCTCAATAAATAGTAGCTATTGTGTCTAGGGAAACCCTGGTGACCTAGTGGTTAAGGGCTAAGGCTGCTAACCAAAAGGTCGTTAGTTCAAATCTACCAGGCGCTCCTTGGAAACTCTGTGGGGCACTTTTACTCGGTCCTACATAGGTTCGCTAGGAGTAGGAATCGACTCGACGGCAACGGGTTTGGTCTTTGGTTTATTGTGTTAAGTAATTAATTGTTTTTATTTATTTATTTATTGTTCCTCTCCCCTTCTCAGCTGAGGGCCTGGAAAAGCGTATGTTACCCATACTGACTTTTTCTGCCCAGGGCTGAGGTTCCTATCATTTAGAAAGTTACTGGTAACCTGCCTAGGCGCCACCAGCCCCGCGGGCTTGGCGGAGGCCCTGCTCTTCGGGTATTTACGGCGCGCGGCCGCCCTTGCTAGGGCTTAAGTCGGCGCTTCCATGTTCAGTTTCAGGGTCTGGCCGGTAGCCCCGGCCGGCGGGCGCGGAACGGGCAGCGGGGTGGGCACGGCAGAGTCCCCTGGGGGCCCCGGAGTTAGGAGGCCGCGTCCGGGAGCCCCGGAGGAGGATGGGCTGCGGACGCAGCAAGCTGAGCTGCTGCAAGCCCCCCAAAAAGGTAAAGGGCGCCGGTGGAGAAGTTTGCCTTCGGAGGTGGTGGGGCACGGAGCCGCTCCGCAGCAGGGGCTCCTCGGCGCCCCAACCGAAAACAGCGAGAGGCGGGCACAGAGGCAGGGAAGGGTCAGCCGGGCGGTGCTCCTTACTAGGCTCCGGGCTGAGCCGCGCGGGGCACGAGTTTACAAACACGGCCCCGGATGCCGGGAAGGACAGCTAATTCTGGCTGCTGCGGGTTGGGGAATGTCTAGTGTGTATGGCAGGTGCCCTCTTTCTTCGGTCTGGGGCTGTTCGCTGTGTGGCCATGGACAAGTGGCTTGACTTCTCTGCGCCTTCCTTCGGCTTTCCCACTGGTTCAAAAGCAGATATTCTCTCGGGCCCTGCTACTCACAGGTGGTCCACGAACTGCAGCATGGGCATCCCCTGGGACTTGTTAGAAATGCACAGTCTCAGGCTGTGCCCCAGACCTGCTAAACCAGAGCCTGCCTTTTAACAAGATATCCAGGTGATTTCTATAAGCTTTAAAGTTTAAGAAGCACTGTTTCTAGGGCCTCTTCCAGGCCTCAGCGGGGGGTGCTTTGTGGCTGTCCTGGGGGTAGCTGGGAGGGGTCAAAGAGGGAGGAGGTGTATCGCCTTCTGCTGCCCTCTGCTCCCTTCCTATTCCTCCCCCAAGGGGCCTCAGAGCTGGGTTAGGGCTCAGGGGACTGTACTCAGGTTTCTTGCTGTGGGACCAGCTGCCCCTTGGGGTCCGACAAGCCCAGAAGGTCAGAGCCTGGAGCCAAGAGGACAGCCTACTCAGGGGATAACCTGAGGCCCAGGGAGGGGAAGGGCAGATCCTCAGGTCCCCTAGCAGCTAAGGCAGATCCCCGAACTCTTGATCCTTTTCCTACACCTGCTGCCTGCCAGCAGGTGGGATTAGATGATTTCACAACTTTATGACCAGCCCCCCTCAAGACCTGAGAGTCCCCAAACTGTGGCGATATTTAATAATTGTGTATTGAAATTGAATCTCTGTCTCTCTCTGCTCCTGCTTTGCTGTGCCCTGAGCACAAGCTTTTCTGCTTATTGGGTATCCAGTACCATTCCCAGCCTAGATGATTCTACTACCTGTTCTGTGCCTCATCCAGGAAGATGAGTTTTGGTATGAAACATAGTGTCTCCCTTCCCCTTCCCGCCCTCCCCCCACCACCAGCACTTCCCCTGCTCTTCTTTTATTCCCAGTTCAAAAGATCACACCAAGCTCAGACCCAAAAAACCTCTTGTCTTCCCTGGCTCCAACAGGGACTGAGGCTTGGCCCTGTGGCTTAGAACCAAGCTGGTGACAGATGGACAGCAATCCTGGGTTTAAATCCTGGCTATGCTACAAACATGCTACGTAATGATTGTAATCTCTTACCCCTCCCTGGGCCTCAGTTTCCCCCTCCACATGGAGACGGGGATAAGCAGGATGGTCTCTAAGGATCTGAAAGGCTGTGTTCTCTGCACCTGTGTTAACCTCTCAATCTACAAAGTGGGCCAGGAGTAGATTCCATCTACCCAGCGGAAACTAGGGGAGGAACTCGCTCCAGGCCCAACCCTTTGAGAGGCCGGAAGAGGAGACCGCAGTGAGCCTGGGTCCCCGTGCCTCCTGGCCCTTCTGAGAGCCTCACCAGCTTCCCCTGTCTCTCCCTAGCGCAGCCTGAATTGGACCCCTCTGACCCAAGCTGAGAAGAACAAGTAAAGTCAGCCCAGACTGAGTTGAACTGGACCTTGGATACCACTTGGGCTGACTCACTGAATGTACATATGGAGGCTAAAGCCTAGAGAAGTGAAGGGTCTTGGCTGAGGTTTCAGAGCAACTTCAAGCAAAATCTAGGTTATCATTCCCCTGGCTCAGTGTGTTTCTCTTCCCCCCTGCCCTGTGCTGCCAGTGGCTTCTTGCCTACTACAAAGCCCTTTGGCATAAAAACCTTCACCACTGTTGCCTCAGAGCCACCTGATGTGTCTTCTCTGCCGCAGCAATGCCAGTCCCCTGCCCCTACATGGCTAGTTTTGTTTAAAGTTCATGCCTCTTTCCATCCCTCCAGACTGTGCTCCTGCCCAATTTCAGCCCCCTAAGGAGCCCTGGTGGTACAGTGGTTAAAGCGTTTGGCTGCTGACCAAAAGGTTGGTGGTTTGAACCCACCAGCCGCTCCATAGGAGAAAGATGTGGCAGTCTGCTTCCATAAAGATTACAGACTTGGAAACCCTGTGAGGCAGTTCTGCTCTGTCCTACAGGGTGGCTGTGAGTCGGAATCAACTCAACGGCAGTAGGTTTGGTTTTTGGTTTTGGTTTGGAGGTAGGGGGTGCTCTGAGGATGAGATGTATAAAAAACGAGGGTCAGGTCATGGTAGCAGTGACTCACTCTGAGTGGCAGTTTACAGAGTACTTTCACATCCTTATCTTTGTCAAATCACACTCAAGCCCTGGGAGCTAGGCTGAGCTGTGGAACCTTCACCGCTTTACAGGTGAGGAACCTGAGGCTTGGTGAAGAATGCTGTGTCCAAAATCATATAGCTAGTCGGTGGCAAAGCAGTGAGTTGGAGGCTGGTTTTTTGCACTCCCCACCTAGTGCCTTCCGCAGAGCACAGAGCAGGTGCATATTTGGATGAATGAATGAGGACTAGCTAAGAGCCGTGCTAGGAGTTAGCCAGGGGGCAACAGGAGTGCTACATCCAGCCTTGAGAGCTACAGGATAGCTTCTTGGAGGTAGTAAGCCTTGACTGAGTGTTGAAGGTTTGGTAGGAGTTACCCAGCCAAGAGGGAGGGAACAGCCTGAGCAAAGGCTGAGCCAAAGAAAGCACAGTATGATGGGGTTCATGGGGGAGAGTGGAGCTTACCAAGGAGGCTACACTGTCTAGAGACAAGGAAATGGCTGCTAGGGCCTCTTGAGGCCCCTCCAGGTTCAAGAACTTGTGGGTTTGCTGAGTTTTGTGGTCTTCGGTGCCTGTGACGTTAGCTGACCAGCTGCTCTGCACCCCACTAGAGGCCCAGCCCAGGCCTACCCCTCTGCCATGTTGGGACAAGTTGGAATCCTGGTAAATGCATGAGTGAGGATCCCCGGCAGGCTGAGGAGTGAATGCTGCAGAGCCATCTGCATCATGTGGCCCTTCCTAAACCCTTCTCCGTGGAAGAGCCCGTGGCTGTGGCCCTGCAGGAGGACTTGGGAGAAGGCTGGGCAGAGATGGTAGGGGCCAAGGAAACAAACCTTCCACGGGTTTCCCTGTAGGGGTGGCACTGGGGGTTAAGGAGAGGGTTCCTGGCAAAGTTTATGCCTGTTTCCATCCGTCCAGGCTGTGCTCCTGCCCAGTTTCACATTCAGGTGCCAACCCTCGAAGGTCTGAGCTCCCAAGTCCATCCCCAACAACTCTCAGCTTCCTCCTGGCAAAGGGGAGGGCACCTGTCCCTCATGGGCACTCCCCTGTGTGTCATCCTACAGTGATGTCTGATCTCCCCAGTGCCTAGGGCTTCAGCTCCAACCACAGTGCCACAGCCCTGAGCAGGGCATCAGAGAACCTGTCTCAACACAGCACCCAAAGCCGGGTCTCAGGCCACAGTTCCTCAGTGGGTCAGTCACTCAGAGACTCTTCATGAGCTCCTCCAGGTACCAGGTAAGGTGAGAAAGACACAGAGGTGAATCATGTGGAAGAGATGTGCATAGTCATAAATAATTCTGAAATAGGACCATAAAGGCTAAGGGCTCAGGCTTCCAGAATTGGAACCATTGCTGTTGAGTCGATTCCAACTCCTGGCGACCGCATGTGTTACAGAGTAGAACTACTCCATAGGGTTTTCCTGGCTGTAATCTTTATGGAAGCAGTTTGCCAAGCCCTTCTTCCACAGAGCAGCTGGGTGGGTTCGAACCATCAACGAGCAGCCAATCGATCACAAACCACTTGTGCCACCCAGGCTCCTCACTCATTCGTTACCTCAGCAAATATTTATGTGTCGATCACACCAGGTTCCTGACTAGGTGCTGGTTCAATCCTGGCTTCATCATGGATCCATTAAGTGACCTTGGAAGTGACTTGGCTTCTCTGTGCCTCAGTTTCCTTGTCTGTAAGATAGGCATAATAATAGCTCCTGTGTCATAGGGTTGTACTTAGGATTAGATGGAAGAATGTGTGTGATAGAGTCCTGGACACACTAACTGGCAGGTGATACGCCCTTAGTAAGAGGTAATGTGAGTGCTGTCATAGGGAGACACAGAAAAGTTATGCTTTAAGGACATCACACCTGGATTGTATTCAAAGCAAGTAGGGATGTGGTGGGGCAGGTATTAATATCCTTGAGAGGTTGATGGGGGCACATGTGGACTCAGCCTGGAGCCTGGCCACTGTTGTTCCAGAAGGCCGAACTGAGTCTCCGGGGGCGGGGAAGCAAAAGGGAGGCAGATTTCTACTTTTCATGAGGAAGAAGTGTCCAAAAAAGACCTCTTTAGATAGTGAGTTCCCCATCTCTGGAGGGGTTCAAGCAGAGGTCAGGTGACATTTTGGCAAGAATATTAGAGGGAACACAAGCATAGGAGGAGTAGCAAATATTTAGGATTTAAGAAACATAGTTATTCTAATGATTAGAATGTTGAGGCAAAGTTTCAAAATTTAGAAAAGCATAAAGAAATTTAAAATCACATTTAATCTCACCATCAGGAGAGAGTCACTGTGTATGTTTCAGTGCCATTCTTTCTACTATTTTTCCTCTGTATGTAATTGTCTTAGTTGTCTAGTGCTGCCACAACAGAAATACCACAAGTGGATGGTTTTAATGAAGAGAAGTTTATTTCCTCAAAGTCAAAGTAGGCTAAAAGTCCAAATTCAGGGCATGAGCTCCAGGGGAAGGCTTTTTCTCTCCGTCAGCCTTCTTCTCTTCAGTGTTCCCCCAGACTAGGAGCTTCTCGGCACAGGGACCCCGGTCCAAAGGACGCGCTCTGCTCCCGGCACTGCTTTCTTGATGGTATGAGGTCCCCCTGTCTCACTGCTCACTTCCGTCTTTTGTACCTCAAGAGATTGCCTCAGGACACAATCCAGTCTTGTAGATCAGGTCATGCCTTACTAACACAACGGCCACCCATCCTCCCTCATTAACATCATAGAGGCAGGATTTACAACTTAGAGGAAAATCACACAGTACCAGGAATCATGGCCCAGCCAAACTGATATACACATTTTTGGGGGAACATAATTCAAACCATGACAATAATATACAATATTGTGACTCTTTTTACAAAATTGGGAATATATATTAAGTGGTTATATTCTGTTTTTTTACTTCATATTCTACAGGGGGTATTTTCCAATGTGACATAGTCCGTGGACACATGATTTTTAATGCCTGCCTAATGTTCTTTGGAAACCCTGGTGGCGTAGTGGTTAAGAGCTACAGCTGCTAACCAAAAGGTTGCAGTTTGAATCCACCAGGCGCTTCTTGGAAAGTCTATGGGGGCAGTTCTACTCTGTCCTATAGGGTCACTATGAGTCGGAATCAACTCAACGGCAACGGGTTTGGTTTTTTTGGTTTTGAATGTTCTGTGGCACAGTGGTTAAAGTGCTTGGCTGCTAACCAGAAAAGATCGGTGCTTTGAACCCACCAGCCACTCCATGGGAGGAAGATGTGGCAGTCTGTTTCCGTAAAGATTTACAGCCTTGGAAACCCTATGGGGCAGTTCTACTCTGTCCTATAGGGTTGCCATGAGTTGGAATCGACTCAGCGGCAGTGGGTTTTGTTTTGTTTTGTTTTTTTAATGTTCTGTAGCTTCTTTAACCAGTTTGGGCACTTGATTGTTTAGATTTCCTACCCTACCCTCATTATTGATGAGCATCTTGTGTTTTCCTCCTAACCCAGAGAGAGTGTGACTTGGAATTCAGAGAGGAGAGAAGGAGATTGTTGGATTGTTGTTGTTGTTGTTGTTAGGTGCCCTCGAGTCTGTTTTGACTCAGTGACCCCATGTGACAGAGTAGAACTGCCCCACAGGGTTTTCTAGGCTGTAATCTTTACGGAAGCAAATCGCCAGGTCTTTACACCGCAGAGCCACTGGGTGGGTTCAAACTGCCAACTTTTCAATTGGCAGCTGAGTGCTTAACTGATGCACCACCAGGGCTCCTTGAGAAGGGGATTATAGGAGGTTAGAAGAGAGATGACATCTTGGCTGGGTTTTGCAGGGTGGGTAGGAGTTAGACAGTTGAGGTGGGGCGAGCAGGAGACTATCCTGGGCAGAAGGATATGTGAGCAGGGTGCAGGACACCTAGTCAGTAGGAGCAGGACAAATCTGACCTTTTAGCTCAGTTTGCCAAGAGTTGGGCAGTCAGGGAAAGTGAAAGGAAGCTGACTCTTCTGTCTGGCAGAGGTAGCACGAGCCCTCTGCCCCAAGTATCATGGGGACATTTGTGTGTATATGGCCTCTGAGCTAATGGCTATTTTCCAGTCTGACAAATAATGCCCCACAAAAAAATCATCCCAGATAAAGCCAAAACAGGCCTCCAAACATACGGTACTCCACAAAACCTGTGATGTTGAACACTAGGTTTCTCTGTTATAAAGGGACATCTGTACGCTGCAACCTAAAACACATTGGAAAAATTCCTAATCAACCTTGGCTTCTAGATACAACCTTTGGTGACATATTTTCTACATATGAACATGTTTTTTAATTCCATTCTTTTACTTTCTAGTTGAATTCCCAGGTGGCTAGCATAGGTCCCCCTGAAAGTGCTATGCTCCCAGCCACCTAGGAATTTCCATCTTTGCTTTAATTGGGTGTTAAGTTTGGGGCCTATGCTTATGTCAGCAGTTGTGGTTTTCGTTGTAAAAAGGGCAGAAAATTAAAATTCAAATTAATTGCACGGAAGCACGCTGCTATATAAGTGAAGATGGTGATACTCTCAAAGCTGAGCTCTTGGCAGGAGGAGCTGCCACCTGACATCTCAATGCTCATAGATCAGCTAGTGAACTGAAGTCTTATATCTGCCTGGAAAGGAGCGTTAGGGGCCTCAGTACAAAATCTGTAGAAATTTCATGTTAAAAAATAAATAAACTTAGAAAAAAGCAGGGACCTCCTATCAAGGGAGTAGTCTGACAGATGGCCCTCGTTCTGGCTCTGACGTTTAGGGTGAACTTGGGTTTCCATCCTCAAGGCCTGTACCTTGTCCTTTCCATGTCCTTCCATGCTCAGAGCACTGGGAGCCGTCCGGGATGACCAAGGGAGAGGACCAGACAGGGAGCCTCTCCACAACAGGACCGGCAGGTTGTGGGGAGGCTCCTGTGAGCCTACCTTGGGCAGAGAGAAGGAGCTAGAAAAACACCCACCATCTTCAGCAGATCTGAATCTATCCATTACCTGAAGACAAGCCATCCTACTTCTCTCGGCAGGTGAATTTTAATCCCTAAAATCCCTAAAAGTAATTTATCTTGTGTCACTTTACTTTCAAACCTGAACCTTCCAGAACATCTAGGCCAACGGCCTTAGAATACATAAAGCATCCATCCCAGGCCCAAGATTTCCCCTCAGATAAATGAAGTACAAACTGACCTACTTCCATCTGTCCCCCTCCCTCAGCAGTAGAGTTTTTCTTCACTGAGTGTGCAGTGAACTTTGTGGACTACCTTGCCATTTCTCCACTGCCCCATGCTACCCTACC